CCTCGGCCTTCGGCCTCGGTAAGCTCCTCGAGAGTAGGTTCTTCAACTTCCTTCGACTCCACCACTTTAGGATGGATTGGGGCATTCCTCGTAGTGTCGACCCTCAGCCTCGTGGAGCTAGTACTTTCATCGGGAGAATCCCTGCCCCGCTAGTCATGCTCGGCTCCTCCAGGGGCGGTCCTCTTCCTCAGTACTTAGACACCAGACGCCCGAGGGGAGCTCTCGGATTCACTATTGTCACTCCCACTACTAGACGAGGTGGAAGAGGGACTACTGGTGTCACTCAAGTCAGGGAGTTCGTAACACTCAGGTCTAGAGTTCGAGTACGACATGGTTTGAAGACAGGAGTCCTTTACCTAATGCCTGAATAAGAGAAGAGAAGCTTAAAGAATTAACTACTTGGTGGCTGAGGTCTCTAGGATCACAAGCGAGAACTCAAGGATCGAGCGAATGGTGAAAACTTTCTCAACTAGTGACCTTATTTAAAGGAAAATGTACGGCTCAGACCGCTTTGATCCAATGGCCGCAGAATTGCCAACCTGACAGCCCAAACCGACGCATTACATGTGGCATCGACCTCGGGGAGAAGAAACAACACCAAAGGAAAAAGTCGGTCCGCCCATTGACTCCGAGTCAAGAGCGACCCTCTGCGCCATCTCATGCACGGTCACGACTGGTCAACACCAACGCTCATCCCGCATACGGATCCACACTGGATGACGACGACACCAGTACGGGACACGACCGACGAACGTGAATGCCTCACACCCGTGCCATCCATGGTGCCGTGCTCTCAGCCCATCGTGATTCTCCAATGAGGCGAGAAGCAAACAAGGAAGTGGTTTCCACACAGTCGCCAAGAAGAGTCCTCGACAACTATGGTCGATGCCTCCACACATCTGCATGGTATTCTCTTCGACAGAGGCCAAGGTCTCTACCCAATGCACCATCCGACGCCTCCACGTAGCTATGTAGTACTCTCTTCGGCTAAGGCCAAGGTCTTCGCTCAGCGCACCGCCTGACCTAGGCCACTACGGCCTCGAGAGTGAGGGCAAGTGATGTAGGTGCACTTTGTAGTCCTCGGATTGCGCCATGTGGCATCGACCAGATGGAATTCTGACCGCACATCTCTAACTGCCACCAATCACTCCATGTCAAGGTCAACTATAAAAGGGGGTGCCCATCTCAAGGTAAATCCATCTTGTTCACACTTGCTCTCTGGCATTCAGAATCCCAAGAGACCTCCTTTGAGCTCTTAAGGACTAAGTTCTGAGCCCTTGTCTCAAGCCTAGTCCGACCCCTATAGCACCTGACTAACTTGACCATCAGAATCTCCACCCCTGGGCTAACACCTAGGGCCTCTGACATGTTCTCTTCTCTTGCTCACAGGTCGGACCATTGGCCTTGAACATCAGTGAAATTTCATTGTTGCCCTCGGCCCCATCTTTGGTAGCAACAATGCTGAACAAAATGGTGGAACAATAACGTTACTATTCATTTGATTGCAAAATAGAAATTCTCCCTACATTTTACATAAATAAAGGTGTTTGGAATAGAGACTCCAAGGTCACAAGTCTAAAGGTATGCTTTCCAAACTTTTTTTTTCTCTATTTCAAAATCCAAACACTCTTCTTTACCATATCTTTCAGTTCAAATTTATATGGCTTGGATAAGACCCCGCCATTTCTGTGCTGAACGAACACATAGCTATAGTCAGGTCGAGAAGACAATATGTATGGATTGGTTTAAGCGGATCTTAATCTCTTAATCAGTCATATCATGTGGCCTCATTATACTTTTTTGGCCTAACATCTCATCTCATTGAGTCAGTTATTGCAATGAATTCTAATGGTGTTATAATTTCTGCATAATATGTGTTTAAGTTTTTAATTGAAGTTTGAATTCTCTCTTACTCAATATCGCCAACAAAACTGTTATTAAGGACATAAGGAGACATGACTTGAAGGAGAATGAGAGTGAAGGGAATTGTAAAGTGTTTATGGGCAGGAGGGTTTTGGGTTTATCACTCCCGAAGAAGGTAAAGTGGTGGTGATAGTAGCGGTTAGAGATCTGGTGGATATTTTGGTGGTTGTGGTGGTGATAGTAATTGTTATATTTGTGGGGAGTAAGGGCATTTTGTAGAGTGCCCCAATGAACAGAAGCATTTTGAAAAATTAGTGATGAGGTTTATATGAGTGTAGTAGATAAAGAAATTGAGAAGACATACAAAGGGCATTTATGTCCTTCTATATGCCATTTACAGTTGGTTGGCGGTAAAGACTTAAATTAACACGTATTGAAAGTTTAAATACTGAATTAACACATTTTAAAGTTCAAATAGGTGTGGATTCCAGCTAAGCCGAGTCGAATAGTACGAGGCTTGAGCTCAGCTCACCAAAGTACTACAAGGCTCGAGCTCGATTCGAGCTAGAACCTTGAGCCTGAGCTTGGTTCAAGTCAAAAATTCGTAAGCTTGAGCTCGGCTTGGCTCGAGCTCGATTTGAGAAAAAAATGTTTTATAAAAATAAAAAATTATATATAAAAAATATTTTTATTTAATATTTTAAAAATTAAGAATTATAATAATTAAAAATTATAATATTATATATATATATATTCGAGCTTGACTCGCGAGCCTCATGAGCGAGTTTTATTAGGTTTGAGCTCGATTCATTTATTAATCGAGCCTGTAAATTAGGCTAAAACTCAACTCAAAGCTCGATTGAAACCGAGCCAAATCGAGGTTTTTACGAGCCGAGCTCGAGTAGCTCGTCAAGAACTCGGCTCGTGGCCATTCAAAGGCAAAAAATGAGTCCAAATTACATAATGCTAATCTCCAACTTTGCCTATTATTATGGTCAGAGACTCAGAATGAATCAGGTTATCCGAAAATTCCCATGGCATTGCTATAACATTTAGGGTAAAATACAAAAACCTCCCCTGAAGTTTCTGATAATCATAAACACCTCCCCTATAGTTTCATTTTAGCAAAAACCTCCCTTCTATTTTTGACAAAATTAACAAGTACCTCCCTTCCATCAATGACCAAGACGAAAAACGTTAAAGAGATGATCATCTTTTTCAAAATACCTATTTTACCTTTTCTCGAGCACTATTCATCTTCTTCCTCGTTCGAACCCAAAAGTAGAGGCAGCGTTGGCACCCCTCTAAATAATTTTGTACCAACATATAGATATGTTAGTTCAACCTTCTAGTTACGCGATTCATTCCACGGTCCTCATCTGAAGCCAATGACCTTTTCCAAAAATCTTTTCTTCGCTTTGTTATATTTTCCTTGGGTTGAGAAGAGAAGAGAGAAGCAAGCAACTCTCAACATGGACTCGATCTTCCCCAGCTTTCCCTTGAGCCCATTGAAGATTATGGCTTTCGAAAGAATAATCGTCATTCAAGCTCCCTTCGTTGCTCAAATTAGTGTTGCTGACGGTGAGGTTCTCCCCGTTCTTCTCCGACCCAACAACTCAATCGGATTCTTTGACGGAGACGACCCCTTTGACCGGGGCAACTATAGAGTTCTAGCCGCGACTGATGGTCTTTGTGATGGCCTACCGTAGAACCTGAATTAGAGACCCCTTTTTGGATCTTGGTCTAAACGCATAACCCCCATGAGAGAAGCTCCTCTGAAACCGATCAGACCCTTTATCCAAAGGACCTGAAAACAATCCACACTCAAGAGGTCCAAACATGAAGCCTCTCTCGATCGGACCATAACTCCCCCGAAATTTCCACACAATGGACCAGAATTCATGAGATAGCAAGGAGCAGGTTGCAGGGGAATGGAAGCAAAGGAGGTAGAGCTTTCAAAAGCAGCAGCTCGATCAAGACTGTTATAGGAATAGAGATCAACAAAAGTTGTAGAGAGAGGGGTAGACATGTTAGCACTTACAAAAGGACCAAAGATGGATCGAAAGGTGGTGGTCTCCTTCGAGTAAACCTTGGAAGAGGAGAGATGAGAGGGATCGGGGCAAACATAGCAGGAGTGGCCAAGACCTTCATTGAGAAGCTCGAATATAACGATAGCTATGTCATGACGACGACAAACTCCACCGGCGCCAAGGAAGCAAGAGGTGCCAAGCTTCCTGCAACTGTTACCCATGGAAGATAACCAAGAGAAAGAGAATTTCGGGCGTTACAATCCCCAAAATCGATATATCATTGCCGATATTTAGTGTCCGCTTTTTCTTGATGTACCTTTTATCTTTTATCGTTTGAGAAGAGGAGAGAGAATCAAGCAACTCTCAACTCAAGTAATAACTAATTAGAGGGGTGTCGCCGCTGCCTCTACTTCTGGGTTCGAATTGGAAGAAGATGAATAGTATTCGAGAAAGGGCAAAATAGACATTTTGAAAAAATATCATCTTTTTAACGTTTTTTGTCTTGGCCATTTGCTAAAGGGAGGTATTTGTTAATTTTATCAAAAATAGAAAAAAAAAATTTACTAAAATAAAATTATAGGAGAGATTTTTATAATTGTAAGAAACTTTAAGGGAAGTTTTTGTATTTTACCGTAACATTTATGCTTTTATTGGTGCATTCTGAGACACCTCACGTTTACACACCTTTTTTATTGGTGCGCTGGTGGAGCTTTGAATCAACTTACTCAGCACGACGCGTTCAACTGTTCAAGAAGCCAAATAGCAATCAAACGCGTCACGCAGCAGGTGGTGGGTTTACTTCGCTAAATAATATTACTACCGACCTTAATCATCATAATATTTAATATTTTAATTAACACTAGATAATACAATATCACCAACTAATCCAGGACATGTCGACAGCGGGACCCAGTCATCTTCTGTCTCTAGTGTCTCCGTCATGGGCCCCATCTTGTCTGCAGTGAGTCCAAGTTCGTGAAGCATACTCCGAATGTCTGGTAATTTTTCTCGTTTATTTTTTTATTTAATATTTAATTTATTTGGTATTTATGAGTAGAGAGAATAAATTAAGTAAAAGAGAGAGATAAAGAAGAAAAGTAAAGGAAAGAAAAGATAAAAGTCGTCGACGGGACGCGGTCTTCGCGTCCTTCTGCCTTCACGGCAACGATGGTGATGATGAGTGTCGTCTCTACGACAGCAGGCGCTTCAGAATCTCTCCACGTATATAAACACTTGTCCCTCATTCCATTCTCCACTCTGGATCTTGCTTTGAAACTCTCGTTGCTTATCAGGGATAAGTCTCCATCAAAGGAACCATGACCGGAAGAGAAATTCTACATAAGATGAAGGTAACCCTCTAGACCCTTCTTCCATTTCTCTGGCTTTCTTTTCTTTCCTTTCCTTTTGCTCTTCTATTGGTAATTGTTATTTCGCTGATTTTTTTTTGCGCCTTGAAATTTATAAATTGAACCAGATTATGGATGTTTATGCTCTTTGGTTCAATTGCTATTCTGGGTTTTGCACTATATTTTTTATTTTTTATTTTTTTTGGGATCTAGAATTTGGCTTTCAGTGTTTTTGGATTCTTCTGCACTGGCTGATGAAATAAATTAGAAAGAGCGGTAATTATTGAAACAGTATTTGCTGTCTTTTTTTTTCTTCATGATTCATCGTTCATCCTTCGAACCATCCATTTCAAGTTGACATTTACAAACTACAAATGAAGTTTTTGTTGCTTAACCATTGATGAAGGTTGTGGCTTCCCAGCTAACGTTTGATGATTTGAATTGTTAAGGCATCAAAGTATATGAGAGGTTCTTCCAAGATCAGGACATGAGATAAGCCTGTTGAATGACCATCTCCTCTCGGGTTTATAATTGGGGGCAATGTGATAAGCCTGTATGAATTACGTACCCAATTCCAACTTGGAAAGCCTGCTTCTATTTCATTTATTTTTAACTTTTTTGTTTTATTTTTGGCCTAACAGATCACATTGAACCAACAAATAATTCCAGTTTGAGTGTTTTACGTTTATCATTCTTTTGACATTTGTTGGGTCATTTCATTTTAAACTGGGGTTCTTGGAACTTATATAAATCGATGTTGTTTGATGTTTATTACTTATGATTTGCTTAAAAGTAAAATGGACAAATTTTTGCAGGATGAAAGATTTGAGCTATATCCCCGCTCCCTTCTACAATAGGAGAATAATGATAGCCTGCACGGACAGTTTTAGCTGAAAATACTAATAAATTAGAGTGCTGATTATATAACTCTTTTTGTAGCAATAATTGATCAATGTATTTTACTAGTAAGTGATTTTTTTTTAATGTAGGAAAAAGCAGGTTTTAGTTCATCTGCAACAGATACAGGGAAAGGCAAAAGCAAGATGTCTGGCAAGCACATCACACATGGTTTCCACTTGGTTAAGGGAAAATCCCATCATCCCATGGAAGACTATGTTGTTGCAGAGTTTAAGAAAGTTAATGACAATGAATTGGGGTTATTCGCTATATTTGATGGCCATATGGGGCATGATGTTCCAGACTACTTGCGTTCTCACCTTTTTAACAATATTCTAGATGAGGTGACATATGTTACATAGTAGATTCCCTTTTCTGTTCTTATTTCTTGATAGATAATTCTATCCAAATAGTTGGGATTGAGTATGGATAATTCTGTCATCATTTGTTTTATATCATTCTGACCTGTTCCTTCTCTTTGTCCAATCAGCCTGGCTTCTGGACTGAAACAGAGGCTGCAATCAAGAAAGCATATTCCATTACTGATTCTATTATTTTGGAGAAATCAGTTGATTTGGGGAGAGGAGGTTCAACTGCAGTTACTGCAATCTTGATTAATGGTGAGAAACTGGTAGTAGCAAATATTGGAGATTCTCGAGCTGTTATTTGCAAGAATGGTGTGGCCAAACAGCTTTCAGTTGATCATGAACCAAGTAAAGAGCGGGAAAGCATAGAGAGCAGAGGGGGTTTTGTATCAAATCTTCCAGGTAACCAGAATAATGTTGAATTGTTGATTAGTCCGATGTCATTACATGGGAAATACAAATCATATTTCTTAATTGGGTTTTCTCAGAAAACGATATTGAATAGAAAAGCTATCATATTTCTAATTTTTCTCAACTTGGAAAGCATTACAAGTTTTGCAAGATATGATCCACGAGGACCAATCTTTGTTACTGAATGCCATTTTCTTCTAATTAGTATTTCATTTCAAAAAATCATTCTGCTTCATTAGATGTGTAGTCAAACCTATGAATTATTACAAGGGAAATCTGCATGCTGTTTTGAACCAGAAGTCTCCCATACATACAGATCTTTCAAGTTTCAAGTCTATGGTGAGTGAGGGCTAAATTTCTATTTCATGATGGATTCAGGGGACGTCCCACGAGTTGATGGGCAGTTAGCGGTGGCTAGGGCATTTGGGGATAAAAGCTTGAAAGGACACCTCAGTTCAGAACCAGATGTAGTGACAGAAATGATAGATGATGAAGCAGAGTTTGCCATCTTGGCAAGCGATGGGTTATGGAAGGTGGGTCTTGTCTAAAATCACTGTCTATTCATTCTTATTGCTGAATGTTATGTTGGAACAAGAGGGTGGTCATTATCAGTTTGTCACAGTCCTTTTTCTTGATTACTACATTCCATTTTTGGCCTAACATATTCACGTTTTCTGGTTATCTCTGAATCCTTCCCCAGGTGATGTCAAACCAAGAATCTGTGGACGCTATCAGACAGATAAAGGATGCTCAATCAGCTGCCAAGCACCTCACAGAGGAGGCTCTTTCTAGGAAAAGCAAGGATGACATTTCCTGCATAGTTGTGAGGTTCCATTGACCCTCCTTTTGGCTAGAAGTTCTTCGATTTTGTTCGACAGAAGTCACAACACTGTACTTAGCTGATGTGTCTGTATTTTAGAAATAAGGAACCACATTACTCCTGTTCTTTGTCCCTATAAATTTGTAAAGGCTTCTTTCTATTATTGTTTCTATTGTTTGTAATAGTTGTTGTAGATGTACACCCATTGAAAATACAACTGATTGAATGAACATACTGTGTCAGCATTCCGGTCCCTGTTTACTTCTTTCTTTTGATCAAATTCAAAGTTGATACAATGATACTTAAGGTCAAGGTTTCTTTCTTGTTTCCTTTTTTTTCATGAGTGAACAGGCAGTCTATTGGAGAATGCAGATGTAATTATGTAAATTATGAATCTAAGAGCAATATTTGATTTATTCCATCATATGGGATGTATGGCCCACAAAAGAGGAATGAACAAGATGCGGCATTGTGGAAAATATGAGATGCCCACAAAGCAATGAACTCTGGTTTGGCCACCTGATGCAATCATCCAATCTACATCTATAGCAGTTTTGTAGCCTGTCCTTTATTAGTGTTTTACACAAACAATGTCTCATCAAGTTTAATTTAATCTTTATTAAACTTGATAAAAGGAGGGCTTTATCTCTGATAACAAGACAAGGGTTTTTTCCTCAAAATTGACCTATTAATAGAGAATAGTGAGAGGAACCTTTGTGGCCCACTTTTGGTGCCTAAAAGAAGTTTTTTCCTTTTAGTTTAAGAATATTTGATTTTAGGGTTTAGAGTTGGGATTTAGGGGTTTAGGGTTGGATCTGAAAATCAGCCATATTTTCTCACTGTGGTATATCGGTATTGTCTACTACTACCAATTGGGAAATTCTGGATTGGCCACATTTGCACTTCTCCAATCCACGCTATTCTTTGACCTTGCTTAACGGTATTTTTTACTAGTAATATAATTTTGATATTTAATATTGGGTAAAATACAAAAACTTCTCCTAAAGCTTTCGACAATCTTAAAAACCTTCCCTATAACGTAAAATGTTAGATTGATGCAGCAGTTTTTTTTCTAAATACCCATTATACTCTTTTATAAATTATTTTACATACAAAATTACTGAAATAATCACATTTTAACTCAATAAAAAACGATAATTTCAGTAATTTTACATACAAAATTATTGAAATATGTTTTTTTATTGAGTTAAAATAAGATTATTTCAGTAATTTTGTATGTAAAATAATTTATAAAAGGTAAAATGGATATTTGAAAAAAACTGGTGCATCAATCTAACGTTTCCGTCGGGACATTGATAGAAGAGAGATTTTTGTTGAATTTCTCAAAAGTTCAGTGGGGAGATATTTATTAAAATAAAACTATTGGGAGGTTTTTTATGATTGTCAAGGAGATTTTTGTATTTTCCTCTTTAATATTTAACCTCAATTTTCGACTAAGTAATAGATCTGATTTCTTTTTTTTTTATATATATTTAAATCCAATTTAATAAAAAACTGAGCTCCAAATTGGATGCAATCATACAATTGATGGTCCCAGAAATAGTAGTTAAAATATTTGATGTAAAATGAGAAAAAACATTTTGCTTTTTTAAAATATAAATATGAAATTTATAATACAATATACAAGATTTTATATTATTGTATTTGTATTCTTTTCAATACAATATACAAATATATTAAATATAAATACATACAAAATAATACAAAATACAAAGTTTTACATTTTACATATTTGTGTTTATACTCCTTCAGAGCTCAGGGCAAGATTTTGTTTTGCGTTATACATTTTATTTTTGTACCCTTCTCAAATTGAGCCTTAGCCTAAGAAAGAGTACATATAAAATAATACAGAATAAAAAATTTTGCATTGTTGAACATTTGTGTTTGTACCCTTATGAGTGCTGAGCCCAAAGGGACGAACTCACATTTGATCATCTCTAGATCAGCCTGGACTCGCATCAAGCTAAAAATTTGAATGCTGGGCCTGGGCCCAATATTTTTTGACCACTAAATTTTTAAACCTGAAAAGTCTAGCCTCATTACTGGCTCGGGGTTTGAGATCGATCAAGCCTAGGGCTCACATTATATGGAAGGTTCAATATACGGTAAGTTCAAAATATCGATACACCTGTGTGTAATATTTTTTAGTCTTTTTAGGCTATGTTTGGGAATGTTTAAGTTAAAAATAAGCGTTTATTCAAATAAACATTTATTTGCATTTGGCACTTAATTTTTTCAAGTGTCTTTTTTAAAATAATCATTTATTTTATATAGTGCATCTGGTAGTCTTTTTCTCTAATAAGCATTTGTGACTATTTTATCCTTTATTTTCTTTCAAAATTTTAAAATATTCTCTTGGAAAACACTTTTATTAAATTACTTTTAAAAAACACTTTAGTGAAAGTACTTTTATAAAAACATTTCTATAAAAGTTTTTTTATTCTTAAAAGTGCTTTTCTAAAAGTGTTTTCGTAAAAGTACTTTCTTAAAAGTGCTTTTGTAAAAGTACTTTCATAAAAATAGTTTTGTAAAAGTGTTTTCGTAAAAGTATTTTCATAAAAGTACTTTTATAAAATTCAAGTAGGGATAACTTTATAAATGGTATTTTAAAATTTAATTAAGGATAATTTTGAAAGAAAAAATTGAATGTGTATAAGCACTTAAAAAAAGCTGGAAATTTGGAATTAAAAAATAAGCTCTTATTTTTAAAATAAGCACTTATTTTGGGATTATTTCCCAAATACCAGTAAGTGCTTAATGGCCTAAATAAACACTTAAAAAACTCACAAACATGGCCTTAATTTCAATTATATATTCATTAAAAAAAGGATTCTCAACATGTCTGATATGGGGGCGTATGAGCATATCTTATAGGTACTTTGAACCTTGATCATATGTGCTAAGCCCATCCTTTTATCATTTCATAGCGGCATAACACCACTATGCTATCCTTCTCTTTCCTTTTTGGTTAAGCTCAGTTTGGAAGGAATACAAATACAAATACGTACAGTGCAAAATCTTGTATTTTGAATTATTTTTGCATGTTTTTTTTTTTTTTTGATAAACAGATAGCAAAATAATTCATTAATAAAGTCTCAAAATACACAAACCAAACAGAGGTTAAGGTCTATTTAAGTCTTGGTTGGCCAGATTTTGAATCCATTCTGGCATATCAAGGATAAACAACCCAGACTCTTGTAGACCCTTTTTTGCTAGCAAGTGTGCCACAGCATTACAAGACCTATTTACGTAACCAAACAGAGAAGCGCCTGCACCAAAAAATCATCAGTCATTGATTTAATAACTAAACAGAGAAAGTTTGCATCCGAAACTAAATCCAAGTTTCCTGTTTGAAGCGCCTGCACCAAAAAATGACAATCAGACTCCACTTCGATTACTTATTCTTTGTACATGCTCAAAATCTCCAAGCTATTTAGAATCGCTATTGCTTCTGCCTATATGGGGGAAGTTGCTATTGACTTGCCAAAAACTGCAGCTATGACAGCACCATTTTCATTCCTTAGAACTGCTCCAAAATCTGACCTTCCATGACCCTCAACATTCCCATCCACGTTCAATTTGAGCTTCCCTGCATCTGGTGCTTTCCAAAAAGATGGTCTTCCATCATTCGAGTTTGGATGTTGAAATGAAGAATCTTGCGATCCTGTTTGGGAAATCATCACTCTCTCCCTCCACATCCTGTAAGAAGATGCAAGAGTGACTCTAGGGGATGGATCAATGTTCTCAAAAATTTTCCTGTTTCTACATTTCCAAATATTCCATAAAAGCAGAAAGGAAGAAGACATTAGGTCCTCTTTTCTCTCTCTGTCGGTTAAACAAAACTCCACCTAGATTTGAAACCAAGTATTAAACGTTGAGTTTGTTCCAACTCTCCCCCCCATGAAACTGAGGTGAGATCTAAACCATGTAGCTTTTGCGTGATCACATTCAAAGAGGTAATGCATTACAGTTTCAGGATGTTGGTTGCAAATAGGGCAAAGGCTGTCATTTGATAGTTTTCTATTATAAAGATTTTCCTTCACAGCCAAGGAACTTTGAGAGCATTTCCATATAAAGTTCTTGATTTTTGGGTCAGTTTTTTATTTTCAAATTTCAGTCCATTGTTTTTTCCCCAATCTATCCAAATTTCTATATGTATTTGCATTTGTACTCTTTCCAACCTGAGCCCAATAAAAATGTTTGCACAGTTCACTCGTTTGGCGGTTTAGGTGTAAGAACAAGGCTGCCAACGGGTCAGGTCTGGGGCAGGTGGTTTTAGTCACTAATCGATTATTAATGAGGACAAAATCAAAGACCCAAAACTGTCCCAATTAATAGTCAGATTTATTGGGTACCTAATTATGTGAAAAGTATATTTATTTATTTGAATAATAACTTAAAATTTAAATAATGATCATAGAACCTTAATAAAAATGATAGTAAAATGCCAAATTATTTATATGTTAATATATTAAACATTTAAACTAATATATATCGCATATTTTCTATCAAATTTATCATTTCAAATATAAAATATAAGAAAATTATAAAAAAAAACAAGAAAATCTTATACATATTTAATAAAATAATTGGTTTGGGTCTGAATTCATTCAACACAAACAAGAACCGGAATTAACCGAATTATTAATCCCAAAATCATAGAATCAAAACCCATTGATAGCCCTAACACTAACACATTGCACTAGTGTTAGGGCAAAATGGCTATTAGACATTAGAGATTTAGAGCCCCAATCTACTCTCAAGAGAATATGTTCCAAACAAGATTTGACACCACATATCTCATAGTTGGTGAGCCTTAGTCTTGGGACTGGGATCTATTCACAGAAAAAACTGTCCCAATACTTCATGCATATCACCATGAGATTGGGATCTGGTGAGGGTGATTTGGCCTTCCGCTAATCTAGCAATAGATGGCATCCTTTTTATTGCTTGACACATCAGCGCCACGTGGATAGATGCGTATCTCACCAAATCAAGGAGATACACTCCGGAATTAGTCTAGGGCACCTCAGCAAGGCGACTAGTAGCATTTTGTTTAAGGTCGACCTGTGGTACCTCGCCGTTATCAATCCAAGGGACCTTGGCATGAGGAGCGACCTCCCTCGATGACTTGTTGAGCTATGGTACTTGTCAATACTAGGGGTGTAACGGATTGAATTCAAATCAGTTCCGGCAATATCCGAATTCGAATCCGATTAGAAAATCCAATATCTGAATTCGATTCAATATCCGACAGATATTGAAAATTATTATCCGAATTCAAATCCGATTAAATATTCAAATATTTGATTCGATCCGAATTCAATTATTTAATTGTTTTAGATAATTAATAAATATTTTATTGATATAAAGTATATAAATATATAAATTATTTATATAACTTAATTATATATAAATTATATAAAATATTTTATATATTATATAGAAGAATTAAATAATCGATTGAATTCAGATATTTATCGAATCGAATCAGGTCATATTTGAATTCAAATCTGATTAACTATTTGGTATGAATAGGATATCCAATTTCGACCAATTAGATATTTAAATTATCTGAATTTGATTCGATTATGTCAAATATTGAATTCGAAATCGGATTTTCGAATACCATTTACACCCCTAGTCAGTACTGGTCAAGGAACCTCGATGTGAGGAGCAGTCTCCTTCGAGGACTTGCCGACCTTCCTGAGGTCCAGGTGGCAACCTGTGAGACATGCTCACTGACTTCCTCCGTGGGCATCCCACCATTCCTAGGTGCTTCGGAAGTCAATTCCCATACCAAATGTATCGAAGGAAGGCACAAAAGCCTAGTATGCATGCAAAACAACCTCTAAGGACTTTAGACTAGTCAACCACATCTTCTTGAAGATCTCGGACGCAGTGCGTGGAGCTCACCCCAAACAATACCTATATAAAGGTCTCATTTCCAATTTCAAGAAGTATGCGCAATTTAACTCTCACATCTCTCTATCTCTTTTTGCTCTTTAGCTCTCTCCAAAATTTCTAATTCATTGACTCAATCATCGGAGTGCCCACCTCAAATAAAGTAGTCCGGGCACTCTAGTACTGTTTTTTTTGTAGGTCAACCCGACAAACTAAGATTCGAGTTGCTTCTCCAACAAGGAACTGCCAGATCACACATAATCAGGACCCACTATAAGAATGGGATTCACTATATCATACACGGTGGAATGTCGGTGTGAGGAGCGCTCTGTGACGAGCAGATCCCAATTCATGTGACGGGATCTGCTCCTCACAAATAGGCGCCTCACATGCACATCCACCGTGCATTGGGAACATCTCCCGTGAATAATAACTAATACTCACGGGAGATGTTCCCAATGCAAGGTAGGATGTGCGTGTGAGGCGCCAGCTGGTGAGGAGCAGATCCGGTCTCCCAATTCATCTGCGGTTTGCGGACAAAGATGATGTTGTTGGAGCGTGTTGGTAATTGGCACAGTTTATTTGATGTGGGTTCCAGTCTTTGGCTATGCACGTGTCAAGGAGCATTATTCTCTTTTAATGGTGAGAAAATCAGGGCGCGTTCGGACCGTCAGCTATAGCCGTTAGAATATAAGCGCCTTTCCGAATCGGAGGGTCGCTTCCATGAATTATTGTTAACGCCGTCTCGGTCTCTTTGGGCTGCTACTCTCTTTTTCAAATATTCGACCGTTGGCATTGTAACGTTAACACATTGCCTCTCTCCAACTTCCCAAGTCTGACCGTTTATTTCCTCCCATCTCCTTTTCGTTCCCTCACTGCGGAACATCCGAAGGGCTTCATCGATCAAAAGGTATTCGATCCATCAATGGCAATGGAAGCTGCCATGATCGACGAGACGTACGAGTTCTCTGCGCCTCGTTACTTCGACTTCATTAATGGCGAGACTGAAGAGGAGATGCAAAGAGCAGAGCTCTGGTTCGAGACCGCTCTCAGCTACGCCCCCTCGCGTATGTTGTCTTCTCATTATTTCTTGTAAAGTTTTTCTTAGTTTCTGGCGAGACAGAATCAGACTCTGTTTTCTAAAATCTTTGGGTTCTGCGATCTATTGTGCACTTAAATGTCTTAGAAATTCATGATTTCGGAAAATTGTTCTTGAACTCCTAGAAGATTTTTAAAAGTTTTGTGCAAATATGAGGTGTCGTTTCACTTTACTTGATCTATTTTTTCCTGTTTCTATGTTCAAAGAATAGGATCAAGATTAAATCTTTTCTATCAATTAATGCAGCTTTCATGCCAAGGATTAAAACAGGTAGGTCTTTTCAAATAGAAACCCTCTGCGATTTCAGTGATGCGGAAAATATCCAGAAGGTAATTTTTAAAACCTTCATTTAGACTTGGTTTCTGAACCAATTGCTAACAAGAGATATGACCTAATCAACACCCGGTCGCTACCTTAATGACGTTTTAGGCATCTGGATCATCGGACACCACGGTTGCATCCGTTCTCGCTCAAGAAGCAGCATTGGCGCCGGCCGAAGAGGTAAAAGCCTCGAGGTACGTTCATCAGGGATGCATAAAACACATTTTCTTTTTCTAGTTCTTATCGTCCACACGAAATTCTAATTTTTTTAGTTCATTAGTCCAGGCCCCAGTCTGAGCACATCCCCGTGGAAACTGCAAAGGGAAATCAGATTGAAGAAGAAAGTAAAACATGTCGCATTGAACAACAAGTATGTTGATTCATCAAAGGGAACTTTTTTCCACCTGATACTACCTTTCAGTCTTGGAAACTCTTCTAACGAATTCCCCTCTAACAGACTCTTGCTGCTGAGCAAACTTGTGATGACAAGAATGGTGTTCATACTCGAGACAGTGGAAGGTTTGTTTTTATTGTTAACCTTACTTATCCTGAAACACTTGGATCTAAATTGTTAGTTTAGTTCCCACATCTTAACTATAGTACCATTTTTCTGCCGGTTTCAGTGTTTTGGCACGAAATAACCTTACAATTGTGGAGACTAAGAGAGAGGGTGCCAATGAGACTACTTCCTCTGTGGTCTGTGTCATCCAAGGTGGTCATCATATTCAGATTTTTTTTCTCCTAGAATGTTTACATGGTTTATCCTTCTCCTAGAATGTTAAGTCGCATTGCAGTTCACAGTTTTTCAATATTCTATGTTTTAGCGGCAGGTACAGAAGTTTGTACGCCCAAACCACAGACTGTATCTAGGAAAGCAAAGCCACTGGCGACAACTTCGAAGAATAATCTGACAGCAAAGAAGATAGCTAGTGCAATTAGAAACCCATCTGCTCTGAAGCCAAAAAATCAGTCCCAGCTATCGCAAGCTAAAAATGGAAAACCAACCAATGCTAGAAGGTCGGTATTAGATTGATTCATGGTGGTTATTTCTGATTTCTGAAGCTGAAATTGTTATAATTCTAAATATTTTGTTCCCGATTTATAGTGTAACTACTGCCAAAAGCACAGTTGTGGCACCAGATTTTGCTCAAGAAAATCAGGCAATTAAGAGACAGAAGCTAGAGGGGGGAAGATCTAGACAGGTTATTCTTGCAACTTTTCTCGTTTTTATTTTTTGGATACGATATTTCTTACTCTTCCATTACTATCAATGACTATGACTGAATTGTAATATTCGTGGATTTTTTTTTTTTTTGAAATTCCAGATACTGAATGTCAAAACCCTGAATCTTCCCCACAAATCAAAATCAGGTTTAATTACTGGAGATGCTAAGTTGTGCCCCTTAACTACAAAAACTCGAAAAGAGGACAGAAAGGTTAATCAATTAAGTTCTTATAAAGACTATGAATGCTAATCAACGTAAAATGCAATTATTTTACTGATTCAATTAATACTTTCTTTAATTACCAGGTCTATGTTCGGGAAGTGGCAGCTGCTACCCCTTTTGTTTCTGCGGCAGAAATGGTGAAGAAATTCCAGACAAGCACTCGAGAGATGGGAATTCCTAATAGCTGCCTCTCCCTTTCACATGTAAATAATGAAGTACCTTACGATTTCTTTTTTCTCCCCCTTTGTTGTATCTATTTTTCTTTCTGTTCCTTCCCATTAAAATCATATATGAGGTTAATCATCTGTAAAGAGAAATTAAAGTTGGGGGGGATGGGTTGGTATCCTCAGGATGCTGCTGCTTCTATTATTCAAAGAAAGCCAAAACTGACTTTGACAAGGCCCAAGGAGCCAGAACTGGAAACAACCAATAGGATTCGTGCTACAAGGGTGAAGAGTACTGCAGAACTTGAGGAAGAAATGATGGCCAATATCCCAAAGTTTAAGGCCAGGCCTTTAAACAAAAAGGTCAGCTGCTTGCTCATAATTCTTAGATGAATTTTTATTTTATCACTAAATTCTTCTTAGTTTCCTCCCCAGTTGACTGCTTATTTATGGTTGCATATATTCTTGTCTGCAGATACTGGAAGCGCCAACACTGCCTGCATTGCCAAGAAGCACCCCTCAACTACCAGAATTTCAGGAATTTCATTTGAAGACAATGGAAAGGGCAAACCAACACGCTGAAACATCAACAGTTGTATCGTCAACTGAATCCTCTTGTCAGGTTTAGAATGAGTTGTTTTTACTGTTTCTTTTCCTTTTTCTAATGTGTGGCTCTACAGTTTGTTAATGGGAGATAAATGGTACTATTGACAGAATGTAGACAAACCCCATAAGCTTACTGAACCTAGGACTCCTCGTCTTGAAACATCATTACGAGCTAGGCCACCCAAGTAAGTCATTTTTGTAAGTTGTGATATTTTGGTTTTTTTAATCAGAAAAAGAATTTATGGATTACTGATTGATTTTTATCTACATATACTTTGAATAGGGTTAAGAGTTCTCAGGAATTAGAGCAGGAAGAACTGGAAAAGATGCCGAAATTTAAAGCTAGGCCACTGAACAGAAAGGTCATTATTCTTCTCCTCTAAAAGTTATTATATGGGCATAAAACATCAAATAAACTTTATTCAGATTAAATCTTATTTCATTAACACTTAAATATAACATTTTTTAGATATTTGAGAGCAAAGGAGACTTGGGAATTTTCCATAGTTCAAAACCCAATGTGACCAAGCCTCAAGAGTTCCATTTTGCAACTGATGAACGTATCCCACCACCAGCTACTGTTATTGACCTCTTTGACAAGGTAAATATCAGAAGGGGATCCCTTCTTTCTACCTCGACTGCTTTTGTGGTGTTTCCTGTGGTTTTCTCTTATTTGTATTTTACCTTTCCAGCTTTCTTTGAGTTCGGAACCTCGCCAGGACCATCAAGTTCTGAAACTGACTACACCAAATCCATTCCATCTCCATACAGAGGTATTATCAACCCAACCTCCTTAAAATATCAGTAACCCGATACTTCAAGGGTTATCTGGGTATCATAGACAACTATGTTTTCTTCATCTGTTTTTTTTATGCTTCCTCTGATAGGAGCGTGGAGCTGAGAAAGAGAGAAGGTTGGCAATGGAACTTCAACAAAAGCAATGGCAAGAGGAGAAGGCTAGGATCCCGAAGGCTACACCATACCCTTACACTACAGACTATCCAGTGGTAACAACATGCTCTTATGCCCTATTTTCTTCCTTCCCTCGCATTTCTGAGACTAAGCTTGATAAGCATAATTCCCTCATGCAGATACCATCAAAACCTGAGCCAAAGCCATGCACAAAACCTGAACCTTTCCAGTTGGAAAGTCTCGTGAGGCATGAAGAGGAAGTACAAAGAGAAATGGAGGAAAGACAGAGGAAAGAGAAAGAAGAGGTTCAGATGAGGATCTTCAAGGCACAACCTATCATGAAAGAGTAAGATTTCACCCAGATATACTTTTCAAATTAACTGAAGACATATGATTTTCCAATTAAACTTTTTTCCACACAGAAGTTGATGAAACTTGTATACCAATTTTATGGATGAATGCAGTGACCCAATTCCAGTTCCTGAGAAGACACGGAAACCGCTCACCCAAGTGCAAGAATTTGCACTTCATGTTGATCACAGGGCTGTGGATAGAGCAGAATTTGATAAGAAGGTGAACAAAAACTTCTTCCTATTTTCCTTTTAGCAGCAGTATCAATCTCTACACACTTTGCACTGATGCATGGAATACTTGTTTATATTTGCAGATCAAAGAAAAAGAAATGATGTACAAGAGGTACAGGGAGGAATATGAATCTGCTAAATTGGTAATAATAACAATATATCTTTTATGTTATAATAAGCCCTTGTTTAATTGCTACTTTGAGCATTGATTTATGTTTGTGACTTGCAGATGGAAGAAGAAAAAGCACTCAAACAATTGAGGAGGACAATGATACCTCATGCAAGATCAATGCCTAGTTTTGCAAATCCTTTTCATCCACAGAAGTAAGCAAAACTAATCTCACTTAAACCCCGTGTTTTATTTATAGATTTTCTTAATTGTGATGGTAACTGCTGTGTGTGGTGGAACAGAGCATGCAAAGAAACAACAAAGGCAAAATCCCCTAAACTGCGAGTAGCCCAGAGAAAAGACAGAAGGCGACTGGTTGGTGTTGCTGCCGCAACTTCTAGTGCTGCCACGAACATGAGATGATTGAGAATGGTGGACGACCCCTTGCAATGTTCAAGAATTCCTGAACCAGAAGGCGACTGGTTAGTGTTGCAGCAGCAACGTGCTGCTACGAACACGAGAGGATTGAGACTAGTGGGCGACCCTTAATGTTCAAGAATTGTTCAAGAATTCTTGAACTCAATCATCTTCTTTTTGTGATGTTATTCAGACTTGCAAAAAAAAAAAAAATGAATGACTGTTTTCTTTGTGTAACAATTACGAGTCTTCGTGTTTGCTTTACGAGTCTCAGAGATACTGCTAAGAAGCCAAGCGGAGCAAACTTCTGCTGCATCTGAAGTGAAGTCACAGACCAGGGCTTTGGATTGATGCGTGTAGAAATTTCCTTCCCCAATCAAACGATTTATTTATTAGACCATTATCTTGGACCTAAGTGCTTGCTTGCTTCAGCAGAAGAAATTCGGGACCACCCTCCACCAGAATAAACCATTATCTTAAAAATTTTTACCGTAGAAAAGGGCAATAATGCCAAAAACATGGGTGGGGGATTAAGAATTCATTTTCAAGAAAACCTGAAGGAGGATGATTTGACCCGACGTATGAAATGATGACACGTGGACCTGATTCAGCACCGGTAACAGCTCAGCATCATAGCCCGATCACGACTAAGTAACAACCCCATAGAGAAGCTCGCTATATCATAGTTCGCTGTAGGAGGAGCTCGCTACAACACGAGCTTCGGGTCCCCCGAGCTACCCAAAAGGGGAACTCCAAGCCTGTTTCAGCTCGCGAGCTAGGGAAACCAGCTCGCTCCAGCCCCTAAGCAGATAAGTCACCTCAGAGAACAACCTTAGTAAGGGTAACCCCGAAGTATTCCTAGGCTCGCTACAAAGTAGCTCGCGAATGAGCAGTGCGGACGTTCCTCAGGAAGCTTCTAACCGTACCGATCAGACTGCACCACGTCTCTTAACTGACGGCGCAATCCCTATCCTTATAGCCGATTTTATCAGGGAAGTCCATTACCCGAGCTGGGTGAACAACCCCGTTCTGGTAAAAAAGGCTAACGGTAAATGGCGCATGTGCGTCGACTACACCGACCTGAACCGAGTTTGCCCAAAGGACTGCTTCCCACTTCCCAGGATTGACCGCCTAGTGGACGCGACCTTGGGGCATGAGTTGTTGAGCTTTCTAGACGCCTACTCAGGCTATAATCAGATCAGGATTGACCCAACAGACGAGGAGAAAACTACCTTTGTAACTGAGCTCGGCCTATACTGTTACAAGGTCATGCCCTTCGGGTTAAAAAATGCCGGGGTGACCTTCCAAAGACTTGTAAATAAACTGTTCGAGCCATTAATTGGCCAAAAAGTGGAATGTTATGTAGACGACATGGTCGTCAAAACCCAACTTTCTTGTGATTTAATACAAGACTTGAACTTAGTTTTTGAAATTCTGCATAAATTCAATATGAAGTTGAACCCGAATAAGTGTGTCTTTGGAGTCGCTTCGGGTAAATTCTTAGGATATATTGTGAACTGGCGCGGCATCGAGGCCAACCCAGACAAGATAAAGGTCATCTTAGATATGAGACCACCTCGAAAAGTGAAGGAGGTTCAGAGGTTGAACGACAGGAAAGCCGCTCTGAGCCACTTCATGTCCAAATCGGAAGACCGTTGCCTGCCTTTCTTTAAGGCAATGAAAAACAAAGGGTTCGAATGGACCCAAGATTGTCAGCTCGCGTTTGACGAGCTCTAAAGGTACCTCTCCAGTATTCCGATTTTAACCCGACCCGAAGAGGGCGATGTTTTAGAGCTGTACCTCTCGGCCAACGACGAAGTGGTCAGCTCAGTACTAATAAAAGAAGTAGATCGGGTCCAACAACCTATCTACTATGTTAGTAAAGTGCTGCAAGGAGCAGAGACTAGGTACCCAGAGATAGAAAAATTGGCCTACGGACTGGTTACCGCAGCCCGAAAGCTCCACCCGTACTTTCAAGCTCACACTGTTATCGTCCTCACCGACAAACCTCTGAGGCAAGTCTTACTCAAGCACGAGGTCTCCGGCCGACTGACGAAGTGGTCCGTTGAGCTCAGCGAGCACGATCTTCAATATAAGCCGCAGACTACTATCAAAGCCCAAGCCTTAGCAGATTTCGTTGCAGAATGCACTTTCGGCTCCGAAGTCCCCGGGCCGGTTGAGCACGAGGCCCCCAGCTTGGGCGAGCCCGAAGCTCCCAGGCCGATCGAGTCTGAGCACCGTGAGGTTGCAGCCAGTGCAGCATCTCTCCTAGTTAGACCAAATGCGAACTGGGATGAGGAGCCCTGGATCCTTCACGTAGATGGCTCCTCGAACCAGTAGGGCAGAGGGGCTGGAATAGTCCTGCACGGCCCAAGTGGCACAAATTTGGAGTACGCACTGTGCTTCGAGTTCGCGGCATCCAACAATGAAGCAGAGTACGAAGCGTTGATAGCCAGGCTAGCTCTAGCCAAAGAAATGAAAGCCAAGCACATTATTATCTGCAACGACTCCCAGCTCATGGTCAATAAGGTCACAGGAGAATACGAAGCTCGCAAACTGACTATGATTGCTTACTTAGCCAAAGTATAGGAGGCCCTGCTCAACTTCCAGTCATACTTCATCAGGCAAATCCCAAGGTCGGAGAACACTGAGGCCGACGCCCTGTCCCGGTTGGCCAGCACTAGTGATAACACCATGAGGACCGTGTACATAGAGGACCTGCCTCAGCCTAGCATTCTCGGGGGGGCAGAGGAGGTCGCTCCCGTCGTGCAAGCAGAGCCGAGCTGAATCGACCCGCTCGCGAGCTTCTTGCTACATGGAACCCTCCCTGCAGATTGCAACACCGCCAGAAGGGTAGAGCATTAGGCGGCCAAATACATCATAATAAACGAACGGTTGTACCGAAGATTCTACACACCCCCCTACCTGCGCTGCCTGTGACCTTTTGAAGCCGAGCTTGTACTCCGCGACACTCATGAAGGCCTGTGCGGCGGACACTTGGGGGGCAGGGCCCTCGCCCAAAAAGCACTACGGCAAGGGTACTACTAGCCAACAATGAAAGCAGACGCAACCAAACTCATCAGAAAATGCGACAAGTGCCAGAAGCACGCCAACATCCATCATCAGCCTGCTGCCGACCTCAAATACTTCACCAGCCCGTAGCCTTTTGCACAATGGGGTATCAACATACTTGGGTCGTTCCCACTAGCGACAGGCCAGAGGAAGTTTCTAGTAGTAGCAATAGATTATTTCACCAAGTGGGTAGAAGCTGAACCTCTTGTAACAATTACAGCCTGAAACGTCCAGAACTTCTTTAGAAAGAACATAGTGTGCCGCTTTGGTTTACCTCGGGTGCTAATCTCTGACAATGGCAAGCAGTTCGAGGACATAAAATTCCAGAACTGGTGCCAAGACATGGGGATACGATAAAACTTCCCTTCGGTCGCACTCCCTCAAGCGAATGGTCAAGCAAAGGTTACGAACAGAGCTATTCTTCGCGGACTGAAAGCGCGCCTAGATCGAGCTAAAGGATTGTGGGCAGACGAGCTAACCTGCGTTTTATGGGCCTACCGAACCACAGAGAAGACCGCCACAGGAGAAACTCCCTTCAACCTCACCTATGGCACCGAAGCAGTCATCCCAGTTGAAATCGAGATTCCCTCGTNTATGGCACCGAAGCAGTCATCCCAGTTGAAATCGAGATTCCCTCGTTACGACTAGAAGCATACGACGTTAAGGCAAATGAAGACGAGCTACGTACCAACCTCGACATGCTCGACAAAGTAAGGGACCTTGCATATATCAGGACTGCAGCTTACCAACAAAGAGTAGCCCGGTACTATAACGCCAGGGCCAAGAAGCGGAACCTCCGCGTTGGCGACCTGGTCCTTCGGAAAGTTATGGTACCTGAGCCCGGCATTGGCAAGCTCGGACTGAATTGGGAAGGACCTTACCGAGTGAAATGAGTTCTCGGGGAAGGAACATACGAGCTCGAGACCCTCGAAGGGAAACAAGTACCGCGGGCATGGAATATTGTCAACTTAAGACAATATTACCTATAACAACTTTGTAGACCACGAGTCACTCCGAGAGCCTAAGGGCCAAAATGCTGAGCTAACATGATCTCGGCGCGATAAGACCCAGTCGCCTCTATGGCACGGGCAAACTACTGAGTAGACCACGAGTCACTCCCAAAGCCTAAGGGTTGAGATAACATGATCCCGACGCAATAAGACCCAGTCGCTTCCGCGGCATGGGCAAACTTCAAGGGCAGACTATGTCACCCCCTCGGCCTAAGGGCTAAAACACCGAGCTAACAAAGACCTCGGAATCAGGAAAGACTTAGCCACTTCAGTAGCGAAGGCAAAGTATGGAATATCATAGGCGTAGGCAGCTCGGGTTTAAACCCCACGGGGCATGGCTCGTCTCGGCACATTGGTTAAACCAAAGTATAGGCAACAAACGTGTAGTTCGGGCATACATGGTGACCACTCCGCGATATACTATAGAGATGCCTTAAACATAACTGCCGAAATGTCTCATTTTAGGCATGTAGCCCTAACAGCTCGAAGTGATGAGATCGCTTTAGCAAAAATAAAAAGAGCACACCTTACTTGGAAGAAAAAAGGAAATTTCATTACTGTCTCAAAAAAAAACAAAGCAAATAACAATACAACAACTGAGCTAAAAAAGCTCAAAAAAGTCTGATAGAAAATAAAAAGCCACAAACGCCCAGCAAAAGATCCTTTCAAGACCGGGTTTATGGCACCCGGGAGCCACCAGAAGTCAAAGCAAATGATCAAACGCCGTCGAAGCCTCAGGGATCCGCCTCCTCGTCCTCATCCTCCGGAGAGTTAGGCTCCCCTTCCTCCGCCTGGTCCGCCGTCTCGGGAGACAGGCCCTTCATAGTGATGCTGTCGAGGTTGAGCCCAGAGAAATTCTTCCAGACCAACCACCGGCAGAGCTTGAACCCAGAGCAGTACGAACTTGAGCCATACTCTACCTGGAGGTCATGATATTCCTGGGAGTCTTTGAAGTCCCAGACCGCCTTCTCTCGCTCGGCCTCCACCATGTTGTCGAAGTTCCGAGTTCGGTCCAGAAGAGTGGACTCCAAGTCCCGAACCTATTGGCGAAGGAGCTCCCTCTCCGCTTCCACCCTCGATGACTCCTCCCTGTAGCGCGCTCTCTCTTCAGAAATCCTGGCAATCTGCACCTCCTGGTCTCGGACGAGCAGCTCCTGGGACTCGCTCCCCTTGCGAGTGTGAAGGAGCTCACCTTGAGTCCGATCGAGCTCGCCTTGGAGCTTCTGAATGTTGACCTTCTGATTACGAGCGTCATAGGAGTGGGCATGCGTCTGGAGAGCCATGGTGTGCATGGTGGTGTTTACCTTCCAACAAGAGACTGGAGTCAAAGGACAACAAAAGGGAAGGAAAGACGAAGGAGAAGAGAAGGACCACTTACCACCATACAGTGAGAGGCGGCAAGCGCGACAAGATCCCTAGGCTCCATCGCCCCCCACTTAGCAACCTCTTCGTTGTGGATTGCTCTCCGGCTCCTCCGACGAGCCACAATGAAGTCATTTACGCCCTCCCAGTTCCCCACTGGGAGCCGCAGGTAAGGAAACGGCTGAGAAGGACCTGGGGGGACCACTCCTTGTTGCGGGAGCTCGCCCTCCTCGAGGCTGGCCCTGCCAGCACCTCATTCGGATGGGGGTGGCGGAACTTTGGGCGGCGAAGAGGTGAAGCTTGGCTCAGCAGACCCGAACTCGGTACCCCCATAGGGGGGCGTCTGGTCGGGGCGCGACCTCTTCACTTTGTGAGTCAACACCAAATATGATGGCTACCAAGAAGAAACCATAAGGCATTAGTTCGGTAAGAACAAAGTATATGTATATACACAATGTTGTGACAAGGTACTATGCAACCTAAAGAGGCAACCTACTCGGGCTCAGGCCGGCTTGGACGAGCTTCTCCTCGGTCAAGTAGTCCGAACAGAGGAAGCCTACTGATGCCCAAGACAACATCATTTTGTGAGTTTCAGAGTCCAGCTCGACCTTGGAGTCCTGGACGGCGCCCCTCCAAGAAGTAGGGAAGGGCCACCCCTCGGGATTGCGGACCAAAAAATAATCCCGCTTTCAGGCAGAAATTTTATTCGGTAGCTCGTGTAAGAGCTTGTAGCCACGGTGGGAGGTGAGGTAGTAGAGACGCCTCTCCGGTGGAGCCCCGGGGGTGGCATTCTTTATACAGAGAATAACAGAAAAGATGTCAACGTCCAAAGGAAGACAATATTCACAGCACAAGGATATAGTCCCAACCATGTTCCGAATGGCGTTGGGATGAAGCTGATCGATAGTGATGTTAAAATGGTTTAGCACCTCCACTATCAACGGGTGTAGGGGGAGACGCAGGAAGTTACCGATGTTCCGAATGGCCCTGGGGGTGGCTCCTGGTAGATGACTATCTCGTTGGGGCCGTGCTCCCACGGGAAGTTACCGATGGGAAGGCAATAGACAAGGTCCCCAGGAAGGTGGAAATAGCTGATTAGAGACCTAAGTCTCCCCGCTGTCATAGAGGAAGGGCCGAAAGTATCAGGCTCCCTTCCTCGGGAAGTGGAGGCTCCGTCACCGGAGGTCTCCCGAGCCCCTGAGACATGTTCCCAAGCTCTCCCCGAGCTCGGGGGAGCATCATCCTGGTCACCGCCCCGGTGGTGAGTGTGGTACGGGTATCTAGACATGATTGATAGTGGTCGAGACTCACTGGAAAAGACGGGATGAAGTAAACTGAGGAACTCGAGTAGACTTGACAGATGCGCGACCTCAGAATCCGAAGACAGCAAGATGGCGTGAGAGAAAGTGAGACCCAAAGGGCCCTCCTATTTATAGTCTCCGCGCCTCCGAACCAACGACCCAGATTAAGGCAGATCTGATGGTTCGCAGGTGTGTTGACCGCACGCCTTCTGAAACTGAAAAATGATTAGCTGCACGTCTCCCATGATTAAGGTAATGACGGTTGCACGACATCCAGAGTTAAGAGCCACCTCAGCACGTTTTCAGAATACGAAAGGTCAGAAAATCTCCCGATTCCCGCAAACGCATTTAATGTGAGCAGTCAATCAAGTTTGAATTTCGGTCAAATCAGTCCATCATACTTCATGAACTCCTTGCACTAAGGCAACATTCTTAGCTCGAGGAGTGGGGGGCAATTGATGGAGGATGATTTGACCCGACCTATGAAATGATGACATGTGGACCTGACTCAGCACGGGCAACAGTTCAGCATCATAGCCTGATCACGACTAAGTAACGAGCCCATAGAGCAGCTCGCTATATCATAGTTTGCTGTAGGAGGAGCTCGCTACAACACGAGCTCCGGGTCCCCTGAGCTACCCAAAAGGGGATACTCCAAAACTGTTTCAGCTCGCGAGCTAGGGAAACTAGCTCGCTCCAGCCCCTAAGCGAATAAGTCACCCCAGAGAACAACCTTAGTAAGGGTAACCCCAAAGTATTCCTATGCTCGCTACAAAGTAGTTCGCGAATGAGCAGCGCGGACGTTCCTCATGAAGCTTCTACTTGACAAACCGTATCGATCAGACTGCACCACGTCTCTTAACTGATGACGCAGTCCCTATCCTTTTGACAGTCTGCACCCACGTCTCTCAGCAGGCGGAGGCGTGCCTGCCCCTTTAAGGTGTGTCACTCATCCGAGCAAGAGGTACGTTGTAACGATCACCTGCGCAGCCCTGACAGGTAACGCCTGCGATAGGAGCCCAATGGCGGTTACGCCTGATTTGATAAGAACGCCCCTATAAAAGACCTTAAAGCAGAGAGACACTCTCTCGCTCTCTCTCAGAATTAGATCTGAATTTGTACTCTTACTTGCTTGCTCACGAGCTAATCTCGAGGCATAGCGATCCAGTGCGATCTACACTCTTAGCCTTTTGTATTCTCTCTTCTTCCTCCCCAGCATTCTAACTTAAGCTTCGGAGTATTCCCGCTGGACAAATCCTCGGGAATCCTTCTTCTTCATCTTCTCAGGTATCGTTCGTTGCCAACAATGAACCAGTCAGCAACCAATTAGGAGTGCTTGGATCGTGCCGCATAAAGCTGGTCTCATTCTAATATTTTATTATCAAGCAGCAACGGATGGGTAATGGCTACTTCTTTTCATAGTTGTGTTGAAACTTGAACTAGAAAAGAGAATGGCAACGAAATCAATCTCCTTTCTTAGGGCCGGTGCATCTTTTTGTATGGTTTTTCGGCTGTTTATAAGCATGGGTGGGGGATTAAAAATTCATTTTCAAGAAAATCTAAAGCTGGTCTCATTCTAATATTTTATTAACAAGCAGCAACGGATGGGCAATGGCTGCTTCTTTTCATAGTTGTGTTGAAACTTGAACTAGAAAAGAGAATAGCGATGAAATCAATCTCCTTTCTTAGGGCCTGTTTGGTGCATCTTTTTGTATGATTTTTTGGCTGTTTATAAGTTGGGAAAACCGAAAATCAGTCTATTTCTATTTGACATACTGAAGATTTAACTGCCAAAATATGAAACATCAAAAACGTGCAAAACATATTTTATGCTGATTTTAAAAATTTTCAAATAAAACTTTCCGCATCTTTCACATTTAATTTCACAGGAAAAGACTCGAAATAATGCAAGAAAAGATGCACATCTACAAACAGACTCTTACTTATTATATTCAATTAATGAATAGTGGAATCCCCATTTCATTTTAGGTGGTCGTGGACAGTGAAAACAGAAGCACTTTCAGTTTATGTCTGATTCTTTCTCAAAATCAGGGCCCATCCGTTGTCCCTTCATCCATCTACCCTTCGTGGGCCCTAGAAGAATGGAAAGAGAAGGGACGACGTCGATATCAGAGGGTGACACATGGGCTACCCTCAACCTACATGCTATCTGAATTTTGAGCTCATGAGACCATTAATGAGATATTATGTAGGGGGACCCTCTCCCGGTCCTTCATCCTTATCCGCCAGCTCTTCACCTATATTTCTACCTTGTTCTCTTTCTCATATATATCTCAATACATGAATGGGTTAGGAGGAGATATTTAAGGGAGGCTTAAAATGGTAATTTTGAATACCTGGGCCCCCACCCCTTCTTCTATATAATTGAGCTATGGTAATTCATTTAGCCAAACTATACTGAATAGTGAATACTGATCAACTCATAAGGAGGATCGCCATGGTTTTGTTGGAGAAGCTCTGGGACGACGTTGTTGCTGGCCCTCAACCTGACCGTGGCCTCGGCAGGCTCAGGAAGCTCAGTACTAAGCCCTTGAATATTAAAGGCACCTTCCTATTCTTCTTCTTCTATTTCTTCGTCTTTTTTATGCATACATGAAAGGGTTTTTAATTTGTTTGTTCGCTTGTTTGTTAGACGTGGAAGGAGAGGGAAGCAGCAAGTACCAGAGATCGATGTCGATGCCGGCAAGCCCAGGAACGCCGACGACACCGGTGACGCCAATAACACCGTCGACGTCTAGGAAGGAGAACGTGTGGAGGAGTGTGTTCCACCCAGGAAGCAACCTGGCCACCAAGAGCATCGGCGCTGAGATGTTTGACAAGCCCCACCCCAACTCTCCCACTGTTTATGACTGGTACGTACCATAACTCCCATGGCATGCACGTGTGCCGAAGCCAGACAGTTGATCATCTTACTTTTTCATCCTCTTGGATCCCATCTGCTTGATTTCGTGACGTGACTTTTGTGTGTAGGCTCTACAGCTGTGAGACTCGAAGCAAATACCGTTGAGGAACGAAGAAGATGAAGAAGAGCCGAAGAGTGTGTGTGTGTGTATGTGCATATTGAGACTCGAAGCAAATACCGTTGAGGAACGAAGAAGATGAAGAAGGGCCGAAGAGTGTGTGTATGTACATATTGAAGTGTTAAGTTTGTCCTCTGTGTCTTTGTGTTCAGTGTTCACTAACTGGGCGAAGAAGACGAGTTATGTTAAGAAGACGTTACGCTTTCGCATGTGCGATCGCGAAGATGTAATGACTTTGTTTCAGTAAAAAAAACATATCTGTCCGTAGATTTGTTATCGACCTTGGTCTCGCTTTCCTACCATGAGCCACGATAACGCCTCTGTCTGATCGATGACCGTCTGATCCACTGAATTTTCTGATGATCATGATTTTATCCAGATCAGTGTGTATCACTTCCTCGTATTTGTAGGTCGTAGGTCGTAGCTAACCTACATACGGTGGGATATGTTGTGGGGCGCAGATGTGAATTCAATCCAGAAGAAAGAAAATAAATCCATGGGCTGCAACTTCTTCAACGGGAGACAGAGCCCGTCTGTTTGTTACAAAGCAGACAAAAGAAATGATTTTTTATGAAAATATTCCAGATCAACCGTTGCATGAGTTGAGGCGACGGGCAATAATTACACATGTCCCTCATCTAATTATTAACACAGTAGCATCCGAATCTCATCCTAATCTTATCCTAATTGCGTGGGGCCCGCCCCATTTATTAGATAATTGTTTGATTAATTAATTTAAGGAATTGTTCTACTGCTCACAGATCATGACTGATACCAACCAAGTGACCAACGTTAGTCGTCGGACCATGTGTTGGGACCAGATCCGAACTCACAAAATGGAGCATCAGTGTTCATAAAATACAGACTGGGGCCCAACGAGCACTAGAACGAACCCCATATCCAAAGGCACGTCGGGCAAAATGGCAGTGTCTTTATATACCCATCCAAACTCCAAAGTTGGATTTGTAACCAACCTACCATGCTCGCCCTCTCACAGCCATCAAGTGCAGCTAACCCGGATTCCTTTCTACCTCTAAGACTGTTCAAGTTCTACATACAATTGATAAAACCAGATGTCAGAACTCAGAAGGGCACATTTGTTTTCTGAATTTGGACTCATCCAATGCAACAGACAAAAGGGTTGATGGGTTGGTTACTCTGCAAAGCGAATTAGAAACCTGGGCAAGTCAAGAAACCTCTTCCCAAAGACCCAAACAGTCAGAAATCAGAACACAGAACTGGTTCATGCTACTTAGAGGCTAAAGCCATGGGAACAAAGACAGAGATAAGTGTTAAAAGCACGAGATGAATCATTAACACGCAGAGGGGCAGAACCAAGAGTATGACATGAAAAAGAAGAAAAAAGGCTACATTACATACATAAATATGAGCTGCACAGACCACGACATGCATAAGCTGTTATTTTTTTCTGTTCTTGACAAACAATGCTTCATCAGGAACTATATTGCCTGAGAGGTCTTTGTTTGTATCTATATAATTTAAGTCACCATGTACTCTTCCTAACTTGATACCTTCTGCCTATAAGTCAGAACCTGAAATTAGCATAGCAGAAGGGATTTATTATAACTGCAACATATGTGCAACTGATAATAACATATAGATAAGATGGAGAACTGACCAGATTGCCTCGACTGGAGGTGCAACTAGCTTGAATCCCTGCCAGAGTTTCTTGCTCTTCCAATATTTGCACACCATTTTTGCAATGATCATCCTTGGAGGTTGAAGGTTCAAGCCCAGATCCACATTGATCAGCAGTCATATGGTGGGGCTCTTTTACCACTAATATTTCAACTTCTTCAGCTTGTACTGGAGTTTGGAGGGCTACAAACTGTATAAATACATCAATAACTAGAACTCATGTTGAATGAGAGGAAGAGAAGCTAATATAAACTTAGAAAACAAAGTTGGTAGAAAAAAAAAAACTATATAAACTTTGAAAACAAAGTTAGTAAAAAATCAAGGTGGTAGAGGAATTTAACTTGGCATAGGTGTTTCACTGACAAGGTCGGCTTGCAGCAAAGGTATGGGCGCTGCAAACTTGGCATACTTTGTTCATCCAATGGCACAAGCATGAGATGTACATCCAGCTGAATACATGAACCATGATTGTGAACAACCATGTCAGTTAAGAGCACAAGAGAGCCCAAAAAGAAAATAATAATCCAACACCCTTTATACCTCATCTTCATTTTCGTCCAAGTTTCGCAGGTAATCTACCAACCTAGACAGGCGATTCCTGGCATTCTTACTATTGCTACCACTTACACTACCATATCTGGTGTGGCTCCGCACACCACCTTTACCCCAAGCCAGTACTTCTGGATTCCCGATACGGCCAGGAGATGCACCTGTGCTCTCTCTGCCCCCTTCTAAGTCATCATTTTCATCACAACCCCCATCTGCATTTGCAGCTGCTGAAAAAGACTGAGAGAACCTGGGTCCTCCCCATCTCCTGCACCGTTTTGGTTTTACCTCTGTAGAGCGTTCGTCTGCAGAAGAGGAATCTTTTCCTCCATCACCATTTGCCTCATCATCATCATCAGATCCTTGAATTTCAGATCCACGAGAGCTTCTCCTCCCTCTCAAATTTCGATAGTTACCCTGAGATTTTCTCACAAATGCAGCTGCAGTGGCTTTAGCTGTGGTGCGTCTCCTGCCAAGTGCTTCTGATTGTCGCCGTAAAGTCTGGGCAATAGATGCTTGGATCTGTCCCAGGAAAACCTAGCATAAGAATTTGAAACAACATAAAAATACAATCTAGTGTACATGTGTGTGCTTGAAGGCATCCCATCCCAAAATAATGGGTATCTGCCCTATTAGAATATGGAGTTATGGCCTAAAACATGTTTGTGTATGCAAAAAGCGCATAATAAAAGAAAAACGAAGAAATAAACCAAATATGAGCCATGATAACTTTCTACCTAGGTGGAGAACTGAAGTTAAAACTGTCAAGCAAGGAAATCTTCACCTAACAGATAAATATTATCTCTATGTAGAAACACGATACCATTTGGAACCTTTTCTGTTCATTTGAAAAATAATGTAATCTCAGAGGGGTGGAAGCTCAATATACCATATCAATCCCAGAGACTTAGAACATAATTTAACGGTTTTAGTTCAAGGACATCTTGCATTGCCAAGCTAAAATATGGTGTGGTTATGGCTTTTCCAAAATCCAAATAATAGCTTGCCAACTCAAGAATCAACTCCTTGGCTCTGCACTCAAAGTTGCCTCCATCAGAGTCAGTTGAATATGCTGACCGATGCTTATATTATTAGAGGTAATAGGAAATTTGACGAAAAAGAAGTTCTGAGAAAAGGATAAATTCCAACACTCCTTCAAACTCAATGCTACTCTCTTAAAGCCTTAAAACCTCAAGAAATAAAGCAAATTGAAACCAAATGATCAATTTTTATTTTATTTCATTAATGCATTTAATCAGTTAAATGTATATTTCCCAATTGACTAGTACAGAACCTAAGTTCTCAATTTTACTTCCGGCAGGAGTTATTCAGTCCAAATAAAATATTTATGTATTAAGTAAATGTCTTGATAACATGATTAAAGAACCCGATGGAGTACTTGAAAAGTACACTTATGCGGTTATGCCAAATACCAATATTTAGATAACTTACGCACAATTTAAAACCCAAGGACTTCATTAGTTTTAATAAACCTAAATAAATGATTTACTGAATTTGTATATCTTTTTAATGAAAAAACAAATAAATTGGTGACGCACGATCTGCTCGCTCCCACATGGCTAGTGACTGGGCTCGAACAAGGTTCTGATCTGGCAGTGCTGAGCTAGTATTTGTGCGTCCAAGCTGGAAAGAAAGAAAGATAGAGTGCCTGGGTAGGTTTTACCCAGGAGAACACTCCGATGCTCAAGTTAGAATGGGGATTTTGTGAGAATATGTGATAGAGCTCAAGAGCTTTAGTGCGACTACCCTTTTGAGTGGATTTGGGGCTTTTTATAGCTATCTGAGGATCAGGTGCCATTAGGCAACGTCTCAGAGTCTCCTGTGGAGCTGTTTCCGCAGTTTAAGGCGTACTAGCGCATTTGTTTCTAGATTCGCACGGCGGTTACATGTCGCCCGCGGGTCTTGTGGCATACAGCTCGGCGAGTTGTTCCTATGGTTGCGGTAACGGTGCCTGCGGAGGCGTGGCGCGCGGAATGGTTTAGGCGAGCTTGTATTGACGGTGACCCAAGCTCGCCCCAACTCAGCCGCTCACCTGATGTCGGGTGCCACATGTTGACTTATCGAGCTGTTCTGCTGACTTGGACGCTGTTGACAACAACAACGTCCATGTGCCAGTAGTTGTGCGGGGTGACCAAAATGCCCCTCATCAATTGCCCCCCACTCTCGAATCTTCTAGGGCGTTTTTGGTCTGCTCACCTTGGTAGGTGGTTCAGCTCGCCCGGTTTGGGCTTGGTCTGAACCGCTTCTTCTAGAACCTTCTAGAGTTCGGAGAGAGGGAAGTGGCTTTGCACGCACGGCGTTCGTGGCAGGCGGTTTGAATTTAAACGCCCACCTAAATTCAAACTGAGCACGCGCGCTTAGTTTTGAATTTTTGAATTTTTGAACTGGCGTGCTCAGAGGTCGAGCCCGCACACCAGTCCCCCGCTGTTGCCAAGCTGTCCTATGCCTGTGTCGTTGGATTCTAGCAGTGCGCCTCTGCTAGCTGTGGTTTTCATATGAATCGTCGATTCTGTTTCCCGCGAGCTATAAATATGGGGGCCTCTGGTGAGGTCCCCTCATATTCACTGTTTTTGGATTTTTCCGAAGGAGGGTGATCTTCGAGTTGGTCTCCAGCGCTGGTCTGCTTAGGCGAGCTCTGTTTTTCGTTGGCGATCTATACTTTCTCCTTATCCCAATTGCTATTGTTGTCGTTTCTAGTTCTCTTTGCTTTTCTAGTGAGTTTCTTTTGTCTTTTTCCCCATGTCTTAGTTTTGCCGAAGATAGGCCATCCGGTGATAGGTCAGATGAGGAATCGAGCTCCTCTAGTGAGGATTCATACGAGTCTTTTTTCGGTGGGGACCTAGTGGGCAGGAGGGAGGAGGTAGAGGCTGTAATAGATTCGTTCGAACCGACCCAGCTGTCTGGGGAGGAGATAGTTGATATATGTCAAAGGTACGAGATCCTCGATGAGTATCGTTGGATTGAGCCTACTGCTAGTCATTATCCTTGGGACCACGACAGGGAGGAGTTGTGCGTCTATGAGGAGTCACTGGTGGCTAGCCTCCGTTTCCCCCTTCATCACTGCTGTATTGAAGTGCTACAAGGTATCGCTGGGTCAGCTCGCCCCAAATGGGGTTAGGACACTAGTTGGGTTGATCAGCTTATGCCACCACCGGGGCTTCCCTTTGAGTCTCGAGGCCTTCTCGACTCTAGTACAGATGAAAAGAATTTCTAGCCCATTTTGTTTTTACCTTCCTTTCCGCAGCATGAGGGAGATTTTTAATTTTCCCAACAAGGTTAGGGGCTGGAAGCAGAGGTTCTTTTTCCTTAAGAATGATGGTGGTTGGGATGTCAACACTACCTGGTACAGTAGTTGCCAGAAAGTTACTATGTGCAGGGATGTCGAGCTTCAAGTTGCTGTCCAGCAACTCGCCTAGGAACGAGTTAGGATTGGAGAGTTCCTAGCTGAGCCGATGCTTGTGCAAGCAGGACTGAGCCATATAGGTGGGCCAGTTGTCAAGTCGCACATTGCGTATTCTCTTTAGGTCGTGCATTTGCCTATTCTTTTTTCCTGTTAGCTCGGCTGCTGATGTTTCTGTCTTTGTCTACAGGTATGGCGAGCTTGTCTTCTATGATGTCAGTCGAGGAAATGAGATCTTCTCGCAAGAAGCATTGAGCTGAGCGTAGGTCATCTAGGGGAGAGGTTTCTTCGTCTGGGACCCCTCCAGTCGTCGACCTGGAGAGGGAAGGAGACCAGATGTACACCGAGCAGCACCTGCCAGAGCCGCAAGTCGCCCAGGAGGAGCGGGAGGCCGGCCCTTACGTGTTCGATATCCCCCCTATCCCTAGCATTCCTGTTGTGTCCATGATTGATTGGTCGAGCGATGCTCGCATAACTCTTCGGTTGGGTAGGGGCATACTTCTTCCTGAGGACATGCAGCAGTTCAACGAGCTGGATCTCGTCGAGACTAGGGCCCGATTGACCCAATGTATCATCCAGGTCTGTTTCTTTTCCGCTGAGAACTTCTTGATTTCTTTCTGCAAGGCATCTTATTTTGTTTTTGGTTTTCGCAGGCAAACAAACACCTATAGTCAGGTCCTACTGGACTATGCTCACTCCGAGTAGAAAGAAAGGGCCAGTATGCAGGCTAACATTGGTCTGCTTAACGCCGAGTTGCAGAGGCTCAGGATTGATTCAGAGGGGGAGTGTATGGAGCACCAATGCCTTTATAACGCGAACCTGAGTCTGCACTCTACAGCACAAGCTGACCCATTCCCGACGCGAGCTGAACGAGTCACGATCTAGGTGTGCCCAGGAGGTTGACCTAGCTAGGGAGGAGGCCGTTGCTCTTTACTTGCAGTCCCCCGCATACGGGAAGCAGAGGGCAATGGACGGTATCCCATCGATGAAGAGGGGATTCAAGTTGTATCGTCGCTATCTCAAGTCCCTGTATCCCGATCTCGATGTCAGCTCCATCACTACATGGAAGGTCCCACGTGAGCTCGTCATGCAAGTGGATGAGGAGCCCTTGACCCCAGAGGAGGAGGAAGATGGCAAAGAGGGGGTCGAGGAAGAAGGAGACGAGGAGGCTCAGGATGATGTCGGTGGTGACGAGTAGCTCAGTCTATAGCTCAGCTGGAAGTTTGGTGGAGATGGTGGTGGTTTCCTTTACTATTTCGAGGGCTTCTTGCTCCTATAAGATTTCCAAGGCCTGCGTGCCCTATATTGTCCGAACTTACTGAACTTTTTCTTTCTCTCTTTCTTCTTTTTTTTTTCTTTTTTTTTTTAGCAGCTACTTGGTCCGCTTACTTGTAAGGCCATTTGGCCCCCTTAATTTAATAAAAGTAGTTGTTCCTTGCAGTACCTTTTGTTTGTTTGGCTAATCTTTACGTTGTTCAGCTCGCTTCTGTTGTAGAGTATAACTTTGTTGTTCTTCAACACTATTGATTCTATCTTCACGATGTCGAACTGAGCTATTAGTTGACTCTAGCGAGCTCGGGGCTCGAAGCACTTTTTATTAGAGATAGTATCTATGTAGGTTGTCCACATTCCAGGCCCGGGGCACTGTCTTCCCATCAAGTGTTTCGAGCTCGTATGCGTTCCCACCTATAGTTTTAGAAACTCTGTAGGGGCCTTCCCAATTTCAGACCGAGCTTTCCCACACTGGGCTCGGGTACCATAACTTTCCTGAGTACCAGGTCGCCAACCCTGAAATTGTGTTTCTTGACTCGTGCATTGTAGTACCGAGCTACACGTTGCTGGTATGTCGCAGTTTGAATATAGGCGAGGTCTCTTAACTTCCTCTACTAAGTTAAGGTTGGCTCGCAAGTCTTCCTCATTTGATTCTTCAGCGCATACTTCAGATCGCAGCGTCAAGATCTTCATTTCAATTGGGATCACTGCCTCGGTCCCGTAAGTTAGGTTGAAGGGCGTCTCACCTATTGTTGTTTTAATGGTGGTCCTGTAGGCCCATAGCACGCTAAGTAGCTCATCCACCCACAAACCCTTAACTCGAGATAGTCAAGCTTTGAGGCCACATAGAATGGCTCTATTGGTGACTTCAGCTTATCCGTTAGCTTGAGCGCCACCGAGGTGAAGTTTTGTCTTATTCCCATCCGATTGCACCAATTCTGGAACTTAATGTCCTCAAACTGCTTCCCGTTGTCTGAGATCAATACTCTGGGTAGGCCAAACCTACAGACTATGCTTCGCCTAAAGTTCTAGACATTGTGAGTTGTTATGGTGACTAGGGGTTCGGCTTTTACCCTACCCACTTGGTGAAGTAATCTACTGCCACCACCAGAAATTTTTTGTCCTTTAGCTGGCAGGAAGGGGCCCAGCAAGTCTATGCCCCATTGTGCGAATGGCCAAGGGCTAGTTAAGTACCTTAGGTCGACGGCTGGCTAGTGTAGGATGTTGGCATGCCGTTAACATTTGTCGCATCGCTGGACCAGCTCAATGGCATCTGCCTTCATGGTGAGCCAGTAGTATCCTTGTCATAAAGCTTTCTGAGCGAGGGCCCTGCAGAGACGAGTTATTCCTATGGTCGCGGTAACGATGCCTACAGAGGCGTGGTGTGAGGAATGGTTTAGGCGAGCTTGTGTTGATGGCAGCTCAAGATCACCCCAGCTCGGCCGCTCACCTGGTGTCGGGTGCCACGACTGTTCTGTTGACTTGGATATTGTGTTGTCAACAGCGTCCACGTGTCGGTAGTTGTGCGGGGTGACCAAAATGCCCCTCATCATAAATTAATAATGATTTATATGTTATGCACACCGAGCCCTGCATTACTGTCAGTATTTGAGAATTATTTGTCTTTAGATTTGCAGTACATGAGAAGTTGAAAACTTACCATAAGTACAAACTCTACCTTCACCAACCCTAACTTTTTTATCATTACCTTTAACTTAAGATCCCTTTATATTTTCCAATTAAGAAAAGGTAACAGTATTGCATTATATCCAGAAAGCAAAATACACATGAAGATGTATAGTGACGCACATGACTTTCCACATTGATTCCAATAAATCCCTAGTCAACTATGTCCCTAGACCTTCTAAATCTGATATCAGTGAGCCAACTTTAAGCAAGCCACTGTAACCTAGCCATCATCTTTAAACAGCCTATCCTTTTCGGCCACATTGATGATGGTACAACTAAAACCAACCATCAATCAGACAGGTGACCGTGCTTCATGCCACTGACTGTATATGTATGCATGACATATATGTTTACATGCACAGATAGATAGGTAGCCTAATAGAATAATCAATTAAGACTCTTCTATAGATGATATGAGTAGGGAGCATAGGGGTCCTTTTGGTTTTCTAATGGAATGGATCAATACAAAGTACATAGGGAGTCTCTAGAAGAGAATAATCAGCTGTTGGATGGAAGAAACAGGGAGCTTAAAGGGACAGGTTTGACAATAGAATGGAAGAAACAGGGAGTTTAAAGGGACAAGTTTGACAATAGAAGCTTGAGGATCTAGTCTAATAAATTTCAACCTCCAGAAACTATCAGCATTTTGATAACAGTTAAAATAGCCAATGCATATGGATGTAATAGGAGTTTAATGATTTCTTGATGGATGATCTTGTGAGAGGATTGCAGGTGCAGCCTGTGGCAAGACCTTTGAGACTGGCAGGTTCTTAGACCCATTTTGACCCCTCAACTCCAGGTACACCATACACTCAATTTAATATTCCTTGGAGAACCTTGGGCAATCAAGGATTGGATGGGAACTCAAAAACTTAGGGCAAGATTATTGTTTATCAGGAATTGACAGATCAGGGATATTAGTCAGAGCACACATCTTGGCCTTAGCATTAATACAGGGTCTCTGATTGATATATTTGCTAGATTTTGGTAGAGTGGAGGTCAAAGGGGACTTGTGCATTGTTATTGGATGGATCAATCGGGATACTTAGGACCATGATCCCTCTTACCATTTCATCAAAGAAGATCAGTTGTTGGAATCCCAAGTTATGACCTCATTTAGACAGGACCCATAGTCAGCCAATTATTTGATGAGCAAATTGCCTAGGGAAGGAGTGTTGTATATAGGGGTGCAAGTCGGGTGGGCTGGGATCGGGTTGAGATAAGGTCATGCTGAGTTCGGGCTACCTAAAGGCTAGGCCTGGGCCCAGCCCAAAAAATAAAAAACCCTGAAGCCTTAGGTCCAAGCCCAGCCCAAGGACCAAAAATCCAAGCCCAAACCCCTGCAAAATTTTGGGCTAGGTCAGTTCGGGCTCAGGTTGGGCATGCCTAAGTTGCACCCCTAATTGTATATTTGGGAGGCCTACCTCTGCCATCATGCTTGCATCTTTTTGAGGTTTTTTGGGGATCATGTCTCTTGACCATAGTTTTCAAAGCGCTAAGGCGAGGCTAGGCGATTGGGGGGTGCCTTGTTGCCTAGTCGCCTAGGCGGGATGGATTTTTTTATGTTAAAAACATAGATCCTAGGGTAGTTCCCTAGGTACCATAACCATATTTCTTTAATAATTATTCATGATTTTCATAAGAAAAGTATAAATTGAAGAAGGAAAATAAAATTCAAAAATATATAGGGGCTGAACCCTTATTTTTGTTATAGGAAAAGAAGAAAATAAAAAGTATTGGTAGTAGTAGTAGTAGTAGTAGTAGTAGTAGTAGTAGTAGTGGTAGAAGAAGAAGAAGAAGAAGAAGAAGAAGAAGAAGAAGAAGAAGAAGAAGAAGAAGAAGAAGTAGAAGAAGAATATATGGAAGAGGAAATTGCTGATTAGATAAAATTTCAAGTTCTTCCTTACTTATTGGTTCAGGTTTTTAAGTCTTTTAGGGTTCAATACAGCATTTAGCAATGTTTGTGTTGATTAAACCCTAACAAATAAGAAAATAATAAAAAGAAATTAGTATATAAACACACAATGATTATTTTAGTTTAATAATGTCTATTTTATAATTATAATCTCAAAAAAGAATGAATAAAAAAGTATTTTATAGTACAAAGTAGAAAACTGCTTGGCGATTAGGCAAGGCGAGCCTCAAAGGGCGCCTTGTCGCCTAGGTGTCGCCTTGACAACTATGCTCTTGACTTGGGGGCTTTGATGGCTGTACTCACTTTTTTTCTGTTGCCAACTAAATTCACATTATCCATAGGAAAAGGGGGAAAAGAAGAATATTCTGTTAACAAACAGTTCACAAAAGGTGAAAGTAGGGGTACAAAAAGAGGACAGCTGGTGGTTGTTTAGGCCATCTTTGGTTCAACACTCATTCTTGCTCAATTCTTTCCGATAAAATTCTAGAATGAAAAAAATGGGTAGAAATGGGCAGAATGAGAAAATGTTGCTATGAACCAAATGCTTTTTTTCAAAAAAAAAAATGAATTCTTTCTGTGGCAAGAATGAAAATAAATTTTAAACGTGTTTGGTTACAAATTTAATTTTCATTCATTTTTTTCATCAACCAAAATAATAATGTAGGTATACATACAATACTCATTAGCAGATGTAGTGGAAATGTGTAAGACCCACAACAACTAAACATAAATCAAGTAATCAACCATGTGTGCCCCACATCAATAACACAAAAATATAAAAGAAAAGAAAAAGGCAAGAAACTACAAAGCTTTTGCATTTGGTTGCATAGAGAAAATATAAAAGAATATTTAAAGGGAGCAATTAGCGCCTATTTAAAAATTAAAACTAATTAGAAGGAAATTAGTTTGCTGAATTGAGTAGGCAGTTGTGCAAATGAAGAAAAGAGCTTGGAACTTCCAAGAAGAAATGGAATTTAAAAATTGTGAAATTAAAAGAAAATTAATAACTCGAAGAACTACAAAATATCTAACTTCACCAAATTGATGATAGTATATTCAATAAAGATACTATATTAAGAAAGTAATAAAATATAATAAAACATCATATAATCGTGCCTCATATTGTTCATTTTCATTCTTTAAAGAAGCTCTATGTCAGTGGTCATAAACTGCCAGCCTAGGTCTCAAAAATCGCCGGTAAATCATGCCTCATATTTCTCATTTCTATGCTGGCGGTCATAAACCACCAGCTCAGGTCTCAAAAACTCCAGCATAGAGTTTTTACCAACAGATGGCTGGTGGTCAATGTCCGTCGGCACAAGTTTTCACAACAGCAGTGGCCAACGGATAGTGGACCGCCGGCCATCCTATTATTTTTCGTGCTGCAAGTTACCTCAATTTTTGTGCCATGGACTCATTTTTCATTCAAAAATGAATGAAGCCCATTGCAAGAATTTTATAACCAAATTCTCTCATGCAATTCACTTTTGCCCATTCTTGCCCAGAATGAGTAAGAAACGATTATTTTCAGCCTGGCTGGCAGTTTATTTATATAATACATACATATGTAAATATTTTTATAACTATATAGCACATGCACACATACATACATACATATATATATGTGTGTGTGTGTGTGTGTGTGTGTGTGTGTGTTTGTTTTATTATTTATATAAATTTGGAAATAGCCTCTCTGTATGTGCAGGGGTAAGGCTGCGTACATCTTTCCCTCCCCAGACCCTGCATTGGCAGGTGCCTCATGCACTGGACTGCCCTTTATATTTATATAAATATTATAAAATGACATAATATTTTTATAATTATAACATATATTTTGTGCATAGATTATACGTCATATAATATAAAATAAATAAATAAATAAATATATATATTTAATGTCTTAGGCCCAAAGCCCAGCCTGGTCTAGCACAGGCCTGGGCTATAGCCCTTATCATAGGTGCTAAGCCCAGCCCAACCCATGATCCCTTACACATATACACCATTCATTGGTAGCAGGAGACAAAATTATTTATTCAAGCAGGAGGCACACAATCCCAACACACATGCATACTCTCTCTCACACTGTTGCGCACATACACACAAGCAAGCAAGTTATATTGGTTTTATATTTTAGCACATGCATGCATGTAAATATGTTTGTTAACTATCTGACCTGCTTATTGCGATTCTTCTCCTCTTCATGAAAGGCCAGCTCCTGAAACCCGGCATCCAGCAAAGAATGAGTACTTAGATAAATCACACTCAACTTAACAAACCCTTGTCCTAAGTCCTAACTATATAGGGTCATCCATGGGAAACCTATTTTGCAGTTGTACTCCAACTCATTGCCATTATCCAACAAGAAGAATAAAAATAAAAACTACAGAAAACTTATACCTCTTCCTCGTATTTATCAATATCTGGATATAAAGCTGCAATTAAAGCATCATAATTTGGATCATCCCTCAAAGAACGACGGCTTGCACAATGTGTGCGGCAAGCAGGGCATTCATTGTTCCTGCAGAAAAGACCAAAGTAGCAATACACATCAGAAAGACTTCAAGATCCTTATGGACAGCCAACTTTTTATAAGTTCTAGCCTAGACCCTAGATGATAAGGAGATTGTAGTGCCTGCATGCCATTGAACCAAATAAGACATGGCCGAACAGTTTCTTAGCATACCCCAGTCGCATTGATTTGTCAATGCATTCCCTGCAAAATCGATGCAGGCATTCCATTACAGTTCGTGTCTTCCGTATTATACCTGTCCATACAAGTGTAATTGTTAGAGAACTTTTCTTTTTTCAAAACGTCAAGAGAGAAAGGCAGGAAAGCAACTCAATGAAACTGGCAAATATTACATATCATGAATTTTGTATGTATTCTTGCTTTATATATATATATATATATATAGTGGAATGGCTAAACAGGATATGTGTAGCCAACCCATATAGTCGGCATAAGGCTTTATTAACTAAAATATCTTGTGAGAAGGAAAAAAAATGCACATGGGAAAATGTTTAAGGTGCAAAAGATATGCCATTTAAGCCCCATCATTGGAAAAATGAGGAATGCAGTTGTTGCTATACCAAAAGAAAAAGTCCTTTCCACACCCCTCCTAGCTAGATCATCAGCCATAGTGTTCTGTATTGACAGACTTTAGTCTTTAGTTTTATTGCTAAAAGCTAAAGGAAGAAATACAGACTCATTTTAGCAAGATCATGAAAAACTGTTTTCAGTAACTTGTTCAGTTACTAGGCTTTTCTCCTCAATTAATTCCTCCTATTTTCTTCTTGCTTTTACTGCTATTGCAACCCATGAAGGTTGCTACTACAATTTTGTGGCCTTATCTTGTTCAAATTTTTTATAGCATACAATCAACTCAACAAGGCCTTGCCCCAACTATATATATGGGGTTAGCTACATGATCTTTATTTTGCCATTCCACTCTTTCAAGGGCTGTATTTATTAATAGAAATTAATAAATTACTAATAGAAATCAGAAATAATACACCAGTGAGTTATGAATGATCCTGAGAGAATGGCAGTTAGCCCCAGTTAACCACCCCGACAAACAAAACAAACCCAGCCCATTTATCTTCTTAGATTGCAAAATTCAGAACCTAAAAGGCAAACATTAATCATCCCTGCTCATTTTATCCTTATAATGGGGCCCAAAACATCTATCTTCTATGTACCCCTTGCTTGGATAAAGCATCCACCAAAGAATTTGTTGAACTTTGTACCCAGCATATTGTTAACTGCATGTTCCTCATTAGCCATCCAAATTGCTTGATCTCATTTCTGTAGCATCACATCTCCTGACTCTCCTTGTTCAGCCAAATTATCACAGTTTTTGAGTCCCCTTCATTTACAAGTCTCTCCACCCCCATCCCCTTGGCCTCTTGCACCCCAACCACTGCTGCCATCGGTTCTGCTCCATCAAGGGCCATATTTGTTTTGGAATGGTAGAATACTGGTACATTTCATTCTATTGCCAATGGGCATATTTATACAGTAAGCTGCTGCAATAAATAGAAAGAAAGAAAAATAGAAAGAAGAAAAAATAGAAAGAAGAGAAAATAGAAAGTACAAAAATAGAAAGTACAAAAATAGAAAGAAAGAAATAGAAAGAAAAAACTTTCTAAATCAATCCTTCCACAATCCTAGGAATATGTACAATTCTATTTTCAGATCT